GATTTAAAAATTTAAAGAATTTAAAGAATTTAAAGAATTTTAAAAATTTAAATGTTCAGCTCCAGCCCCAGCCCCAGCCCCCCAGCTTCCGACCCCAGCCCACGGAATTAAATTTTTTAAATTCTTTAAATTCTTTAAATTCTGAAATCGTCCGGAATTAAAAATTTAAAGAATTTAAAAAATTTAAAGGGGGTAAATCCTTTAAATTCTGAAATCGTCCGGAATTAAAAATTTAAAGAATTTAAAAAATTTAAAGGGGGTAAATCCTTTAAATTCTTTAAATCTTGAAATGGTCCCGATTTAAAAATTTAAAGAATTTAAAGAATTTAAAGAATTTTAAAAATTTAAATGTTCAGCTCCAGCCCCAGCCCCAGCCCCCCAGCTTCCGACCCCAGCCCACGGAATTAAATTTTTTAAATTCTTTAAATTCTTTAAATTCTGAAATCGTCCGGAATTAAAAATTTAAAGAATTTAAAAAATTTAAAGGGGTAAATCCTTTAAATTCTGAAATCGTCCGGAATTAAAAATTTAAAGAATTTAAAAAATTTAAAGGGGGTAAATCCTTTAAATTCTGAAATCGTCCGGAATTAAAAATTTAAAGAATTTAAAAAATTTAAAGGGGGTAAATCCTTTAAATTCTTTAAATTTCGAAATGGTCCCGATTTAAAAATTTAAAGATTTTAAAGAATTTAAAGAATTTTAAAAATTTAAATGTTCAGCTCCAGCCCCAGCCAGCTCCAGCCCCAGCCCCCACCAGCCCCAGCCCAAGCCCCACCCTAGCCCAGCCAGCCCAACAGCCCCTACCACCCCCAGTCCGCCAGCCCCTGGCCCCCGCAGCCAGCCCCAGCCCCAGCCCCCCAGCCCAGCCCCAGCCTCGACCAGCCCCCCCAAGCCCCCCAGCCCCCCCCTACCAGCGCCCAGCCCTAGCCCCCAGCCCCCACCAGCCCCAGCCCAAGCCCCCAGCCCCAGCCCCAGCCCTTAACCCCCAGCCTCAGCCCTCAGCCCCCAGCCAGTCCCAGAGCCACCCACCAGCCCCACCCCACCCCCCAGCCTCCAGCAGCTACCTTGTCGCCCACCCAGCCCATCCCCCAGCCCCAACCCCCAGCCAGCCTACCCTCAGCCAGCCAGCCTCGCCCAGGCTCTCAGCCACCTCAGCTCCAAGTATGCCGCAGCCCCAGCCCCGCTGCAGTCCTGGCCCCACAAGCCCGCCCCCCAGCCCCAGCCTCCAGCCCCACCCCTGCCCACGCCTAGGCAGAGCAGCGTGGGGCGAGGGCGTTTATGGGGCAATGTACGAGGATCGTGAGGACTCTAAACTAGTCGTGGAAGTAGCAGTAGCAGTTGCAGTAGTAGTAGGAGTAAGGCTGAAAAGATGACACATTTCCGGCCTGAAATGTGTCATGCTTCTTTCTGTAACACGGAAAAGATGACACATTTCCGGCCTGAAATGTGTCATGCCACTTTCTGTAAAACGGAAAAGATGACACATTTCCGGCCTGAAATGTGTCATGCTTCTTTCTGTAACACGGAAAAGATGACACATTTCCGGCCTGAGGTTTGAGGTTTGATATCGTCTGAGGGTAACAAAAAAAACTTTTTGGCCCCCTCCCAGCCCTAGCTCCCAACCCCCAGCCCTATCTTCCAGGCCCAGCTCCTTGCACGCCCAGGCCCCCATGTACATGAACATGTATCATACACAGAACAGTAGCCTTTTATTATTTATACATTCCGTCAGATCATGCCAGCAACGTTTTTCTTGAACCTGTGTACTCATGTAGAAACGGACATGCAAGGTTCGCCTTTCATTCTTTTGTTGTTTTGTTTACTTTTTATCTTGTGGTGATGATGCTCTTGATGCTTGTGAGGGTAGTATAGATACTGATGCTGTGTGATATCGACATGCTCATGAAACAACAATCCAGGTTCCTTCTGACTGGCGCAGGCGAGTTTGCTTGTATGTTTTTGTAATCTATAGAAAGGTTCCTTAAACACAAGATAGTATTTTCCCGAGTCCATATGATAAATACTGTTATTACGGGTTTCCAGCCCCCGGTCAATTATATACAGACAGGGGGCTAGAAGCTCTATTGTAACTAGATAGAAAATTTGCTTGAAGTTAATGCCGTGTAAACATAAGAAATTGCTTCCAAAAATGAGTGGACCTGGCCTTGTCAGGCCCCAGGCCACTCCCCGGCAAGCGGCACCGGGCAAAGAAAACGCGCACGGGTGTGATTTTAATCTTCTAGACGGCATTAACTTAAGCACCTCTAAACCCTATACCCGAATTCTACAAAGGCACTCGTGTTCATGATGGCTCGTCCGATCTCTTTCTTGTTTTTATTCACTAACGTCCAAATACACAGAGCGCGCCTGTTGCGCTCACATCTCGAAGCTCACTTGATATCACAAGTCACCAAGAAGCACTACGAGTTGGACGCCCGACAGCGGGTTTACCACGTTAAAGTGGGACGGCCGTCGTCAAGAATCCAAGCGAGCCGGCCGCGTCTAGGCAAGCCGGCTGCCCGCAAGACGACAGGCGAGCCGGCCGCCCTTAGGCGAGCCGGCCGCCCTTTGGCGAGCCGGCCTTTCTTTTTCCTAGGCGAGCCGGCCGCCCTCAGGCGAGCCGGCCGCCCTTTGGCGAGCCGGCCGCCCTTGGCGAGCCGGCCGCCCTTAGGCGAGCCGGCCGCCCTTTGGCGAGCCGGCCGCCCTTAGGCGAGCCGGCCGCCCTGTGCAGGTTTAAAAGCTGTGTTCAACTTTGGCTTCGGCCTACGTCAGTGGGGTAGCCCCCCAGCGGTAGCTCTCGCGAATTTTTTACTGAGCTGGTTGAGGGCGAGGTTGAGCCATGCAGTTGCTTCAGGCTTTACTTCAAGCTTTGCTTCTGTTGCTGAGCAAGGCATATCTCGCCACTAGCAATTCGTTACAGGTGTCTGGAAGGTCATGATTGAAGCCATTCAAGGCTTAAACATTTCAACGACATGGCAAAAGGCAACCTGTCTTGAAGGAGAGATGTGAGGGTCTAGGATAACTGTGAGACAAGGCAAGCAGTCTTGCGCCAGCTGCTCCTTTGAGGAATAGCTGTTTCCAGCTTTACCTAGTGAACCAACATGCTAGACTTGAAGCAAAGGGAGAAGCGTGAAATTTGAAGGGTGCTGTCTTGGCAAGCAAGCAGCACAGGGAAGCCGACCGCTCTTCATTGACCCGACCACGGTCAAGACGACAGGTGAGCTAGCCGCCCTTTGGCGAGCTAGCCGCCCGCAAGACGACAGTTGAGCTAGCCGCCCTTTGGCGAGCTAGCCGCCCGCAAGACGACAGGTGAGCTAGCCGCCCTTTGGCGAGCTAGCCGCCCGCAAGACGACAGGTGAGCTAGCCGCCCTTTGGCGAGCTAGCCGCCCGCAAGACGACAGGCGAGCCGGCCGCCCTTTGGCGAGCCGGCCGCCCTTTGGCGAGCCGGCCGCCCCTAGGCGAGCCGGCCGCCCTCAGGCGAGCCGGCCGCCCTAGGCGAGCCGGCCGCCCTCAGGCGAGCCGGCCGCCCTTAGGCGAGCCGGCCGCCCTGTGCAGGTTTAAAAGCTGTGTTCAACTTTGGCTTCGGCCTACGTCAGTGGGGTAGCCCCCCAGCGGTAGCTCTCGCGAATTTTTTACTGAGCTGGTTGAGCGCGAGGATGAGCCATGCAGTTGCTTAGCCGGCCGCCCTGTGCAGTGTAGAAGCTGTCTTCAACTTTGGCTTCGGCCTACGTCAGTGGGGTAGCCCCCCAGCGGTAGCTCTCGCGAATTTTTTACTGAGCTGGTTGAGCGCGAGGTTGAGCCATGCAGTTGCTTCGGGCTTTACTTCAAGCTTGGCTTCTGTTGCTGAGCAAGGCATATCTCGCCACTAGCAATTCATTACAGGTGTCTGGAAGGCCATGATTGAAGCCATTCAAGGCTTAAACATTTCAACGACATGGCAAAAGGCAACTTGTCTTGAAGGAGAGATGTGAGGGTCTAGGATAACTGTGAGACAAGGCAAGCAGTCTTGCGCCAGCTGTTCCTTTGAGGAATAGCTGTTTCCAGCTTTACCTAGTGATCCAACATGCTAGACTTGAAGCAAAGGGAGAAGCGTGAAATTTGAAGGGTGCTGCCTTGGCAAGCAAGCAGCACACGGAAGCCGACCGCTCTGCAGCGACCCGACCGCGGTCAAGACGACAGGTGAGCCAGCCGCCCTTTGGCGAGCTAGCCGCCCGCAAGACGACAGGCGAGCCGGCCGCCCTTAGGCGAGCCGGCCGCCCTGTGCAGGTTTAAAAGCTGTGTTCAACTTTGGCTTCGGCCTACGTCAGTGGGGTAGCCCCCCAGCGGTAATTCTCGCGATTTTTTGATTGAGCTGGTTGAGAGCGTGATTGAGCCATGCAATTAGTTCACATCGTTTTCACTCTGATGCGGACACTTCGGCCGGGTGCCTGCTACTTATTCCCACCCCTCAAAGTAGGAGCTGCATGGCTACTTGCGCTCAACCGCGCAGAGACCGGTGTAAGATACGTTTTCAGCCAAACTGCCAATCATCTTCGCGGGTTGAGGCTCGAGGCTTGGCCGAACGTCACTTGTTGCACTACTAGAAATTGACACTGACAGCAACACCTGCACTAACACCAGCAGCAGCCACCTGACCTTTTCGTTGCGCTGTCATGGTGGCCTTCCAGGCCGCTTACGTTCCCGAGAGTATTCTGACTTTGCAGACTTGGAGCCAACAGCAGCTGTGCGGCGTAACTGGCCGGGCATGGTTTCCTTTGTCAAGGACGTTATCTTCAAACATTGACGTCGCACAACACGCTAACAAAAGGCATACGAAACTGTTCTCTAGGACAGCGCAAAATCATTCATTTCAGTGAGCCAAAGCAACTAGACGGTAAAACTGTGTTTATTCGGATGCGTGTACTAGCATTCGTCAGCTTTGATCCAGGAGTTCGAACCGACATGTCGATGTGCTGTTCACGGCTGATCCACCACGAGGCTGGAGACGTCGACTTACCGGCATGGGGTTGATGAACTTCATTGAGTGGCATTTCGGCTGCTGTCGCTATGGGGTCGTGATCCTCGGCGCAGCCGGGCAGCAGGGCCTCTGCTTGTTGGTGCGACCCATCAGCAATTTGCTGGTGTTCGTGGACATTCAGCGCAACGGTGCAAACGCCAGTTGCACTTTCCGGCTACTCGCTCTTGACGTGCTCGGCATTTGCCTACTTCCAAGTATCTATGATCTAGCTATTTTACATTTCCCGTGACAGTTACAGGGTGTCCTGGAATGTTCTTGGCAATGACTTCAGACTTCAGTGAACCTTCGGAGAACCAGATTCACTTCCATAGTTTTCATCGTAGGACCCCCAAAGCCTTGAAGCTGAACATCTTTTGCATCTTCAAGCAAGCCTCACTCTTCCAGCCTTCGGCGTTGAGGTTGTTACAGACATGAGTTTGACTTCTTCAACCTTGTAAGGGTTCGCTTTCCTTGAAATGATATAGACATCCTCAAGCTTTCAACCGCGGTCTCTGAAGCCATATCCAGAGACCAGGTTCGAATTTTCACTTCACGGCTTTCTGCACTTGCACGAGGTACTTGATGATGTGGGAGTAGTTTCCATGTCTATTCGCAAGATGCTGTTGAATTCTTGAACATTCCACAGCTATGCTGCCTTGTAAAGCAGACGGTGGAAACGATGGACAGCTCAGGTTCGGCAGCGGTGCTCCCAGATGGCATCTGATGCACAACTACCGTGGCCACTTGGAGCTCCATGCCCCGTTGAACCATAACATGTACCATGTTAGAGAAAGAGTTTATTTCAATGTAATCCGCGACTGCTCGTGGGCCTTCACTTTACCAGATATGAGCACTTTCGCTATCGCTGTCAATGGCTATCGCTTGGTCGCCAACCAACAGTTCGAGACCACTGTTGATAGTGTGCTTATCAACTACCGCACTCTTCGATGCACCTCTGACGACGAGACTATGACGTTTGCAGGAAGCGACTCAGAGGATCCGGAGCTTTAGGCGAACGGTTCCGCACTGCTTCTGTGCTCTCATTTTTTTTTCTTTCGCCGTGTGTGTCTTCACTCGGCTGGTTTTTAATCGATGTGCAGCCTGCCATTATCTGAAACAGAACGATGCGCTCCAAGTGATTCGCGAAGCTAACTTTCGTCGAGGATATCGAGAAATGTCTTGTGTGTGTCACTGTAAATTGAAGACTATGTCTCTGCAGTGCTAAAGCTAGCTGTTCGACATTCCTGCAGCGCTAACTATCAAGCAACATTCCTGCTCTCTTCTTTCTTCTTGTTGTGCCATCGTCGGGCCAGGCTCTTAAGATTAATCTGCATTCTTTTATTACCGTGCACCAGCAATGTCTCTTAGGCTGTCATGGCTTTGTACTTCCAGCACAGCATGTTGGACGATGATGACCGCTGCAAGGTGCCGCCTGGAACTCGGACTGCTCATCCTCGCTAGTCACGTTCGGAAGTGTCATGGCACTTTGTCTGAGGCTGCCTATGGCAGAGAGTGAGCCACCTTCGGGTAAGCGTGCCTAGATTGCACCGAGTTCCGACTGCTCGCGGGATTGCACATACTACACATGATCATTGAGTCTAAGGTGTTTTTGTCAAGTGGCTCCGTCGCTGGGTGAGGACTACCCCTTGGTCGCACTACTTCGGTTGCAGTCGTTCTGCTGCCGCGAGGATTTCCTTGCCTGATCCGATGGATGTCACTTCAGGCTGACTATGCTTTTCAAAAGCGCATGCTGCGGTTGCTGGTGTGCGTGATGTGAAGCGGTCCTTCAGGGGTAGCTGCTGACGGCGGCTGGCGAAAGCGTAAGCACGGAGCTGTTTTTGTTTGGAATAGACCTAGCGACCAATGTCACGATAGCAACCTAGTACATCAAGGTCTGACGCCGCTGCCGTCAAAGGATACCGCTGTTGCTTGCCTGAAACATTGCATCTGAGTTCAAACGTTTAGATGTTACATGGTGGCTTGTTTGTTGTATTGTTAGTGTTCCAAGGGGTTTTTGAAAACGGCCGCTGGCGAAAGGTAATGCCTGTGCCTTAATGGTACCTAGAACAACGAACTACTTCTTTGCTACAATTTCAACGAGGCCTGCCGCCGCGGCCGTCATGGATTCAACGAGAAAGCAGCAGGGCACCGAGTTTAACATCTAGGTTGCTGTGTTAGTTATTGACGAACTGAGACGTCGCATTCCTTTCTGTTCGGTGCTCCGTGTTCGGCAGGATCGCGCCGAAGCTCGTGACGACGTCGGAGTTGCTTTCTGCAGATTAGCTCTAGACATTCTCCAATTTTCCCGACTTGTGCGGCCGTAAGGCTTGACCCGATGGCTGTGCGGCGCTCCAAGCACAGGGGGCAAACATCGGTTGTCAGCATGTAGCTCACATGCAAGGTATAACGGTATAACAGCACCCTGTCCAGGTCCAAGAACAACGAGGAAACCAGGATCCGGAGTTTGTTGAACACTGAGCTCGACGCTCAATGTTTTTGGGATGAACGTTCGAACCAACATCTGTCTTATGTCTTACTTGATCTTGTAGTGCTCGAACCAGGGAGGCAGCGATTCTTCACTGGCGCGACTTCTTGTCCGATCCTTTGTTGAGATGCTTCCAGCAGATGAAAGGATTTTTCGACCCTGGGAACGTGTATAGTGTTGCTGCGCATGCGCGAAGGTGTTATCATGCTGGCGTGGAGCAGCTCATCCAGTGCGAGCATCGGACCTAGTGCAATTAGTTCGGATGATGCCCTGATTGCATTGCTTCCAATGTCAGGTATGCAGCGACAAGGCCCTGGCAGGAGTTCGAGCGATGATCTTAGTCTTAGTATTCGACAGAGTCGCACTCTCGAAACTTGTGCAGCTCGCTGCAACTTTCATGTGCGGCCTCCACTTGAGAAGGCCAGCAATGACGAGCCCCGACATCGAAGACTTTCCGTTGGACGAGACGGTCATGTGTGGCGGGCTTATGATTTCTCGTTCGTGACTGTCTGTGTGTGTTTGTGTGTGTGTTCGTTTGTGTGCATACGTGTGCACCAAGACTGACAGCTGGTAAGTTGACTTCAGGGATCGCTTGCGGCTGGTGCGTAAAGGAGCTGCACATGAAGGCGCCTGAGGTCGTCATGCGAGAATGTTTCTTGGCTTGTTCGCCGCAGAACCTAGTTGCATAGTTTCATTGCACATTGTCATGTAAGGTGACATACTCGCCAAGAGAATTTTCGCACGCCTTTCCTCGAGCAAGCATCTTCCCGCGGCCGAGGTGGGTCGGTAAAAGCGCATCGTACAGGCGAGCTTTCGTGTTTGGATTAGGACCGTCCCAATTGGCGATGCCTTCCGCGCCCGCGGTTCTATCGGGGCTTCAAGCCACGTGTAGGCTTGCTGCTGTTGTGATTGTTCCTCATCGAATTTCCTTTCCTATGCAAGTCAAACAGGTCAGAAGAAGAGCAAGACCACTGCTGCAAAAACTCCCTGCACAGGACTCGAGTAGCAAGTTGCATCAGGTGTGCGATCATCCAAATACAATAACTTGTTTGCAGGCGACGTGAAGAAAGACTGCTGCCTCATCGATGCTCTCCGGGCACACGGCTACAAGGTCCCGTACGCAACCTGTGGCCCCTTCTGGGCCGTGGCGGACGGGAACAGGTTCCTGCTTCCCTATGGGCCACTCGCAAAAGAATTTGTTTTGTTTTTCTAGAGAAGTCGTATGGCACTCTGGATTTTTACAGGCTCCACGATCCAAGGAGAACAGTGATTCCGATCGACGCCCAAGAAATCCGTACACATGGTGAATATATTCTTGGAAAGGACCATCACTTCGTTGCCTTGCGCAGCAACAGCGAAGGCCTTTTTGTTAATGTGTCACACCGCCGACACCTTTGGCACGAAGTGGAAATCGCGGACTTGCTGCATGCCTCGCGACGAAATTACTTATGCTAGAGAGATTGCCTTAACGGTATTTTCTAGTCTTGTAGCAACTTCGGCTCAGGTCATGGTCCATCAAGACCAGGAAACGGGCAAGTTTTTGCTCGACCCGATGAACATCGCCGCTGCCTTTCGAGTGGAGCGCCTGTGTACGGTTTCTTGGCTGCAGTGAAACTTATGACTACATCACATTCTCACATGCTCCATTGTACCCGAGGCAAGCGCAACAGGGGATGCAACAAGTGTCCGCGATGTGCTAGGCTCCGGCTGGGAGACGCCTGACTGCATGATGCTTCAATGTCATCGACTCTTTTGCGAGTGCGAGTAGATAAGACCTCTGTCGCGTCAAATTCAAAAAAAGCGTTCCATTGTTGATAGTACGGAAGCAGTCAGGCCATGGATGAGTGATATGCTGCACAGAGACCTTGTTCGCTACGGCGGCGAGATCCCGGACCTTCGTCCAGGCCGCACTCTTCCACCTGTTCTTTCCGAGCAGCAGAAGGACACCACGAGAGCGGTCGCTGCACCTTCGAAAATGTTAGACATTAGTGTTTGAACTGAAGGAAAGAGCTCTGCTTGCCGCAGAACGAGTGCGTTGCAAAGAAGTCGCGGAGCAGGCCATTGGGTTATGTAGTTTTCCATGCTCAGGCTACAATTCGTGTTGGGATCTTGCTGCGGACTGTTTGCGTGCGTTTTCTTTACATCTAGCTTGTTACATTGCTATTGACTGAGCACCCTTTTGTTCGAGACAGGGAGAAACGTCCAAATCAGCGCCCAGCGATCCTCCACCGAGAGATGATTCTGTAACTCGGCTCTGGACGGTGGCTTGCTTCTCCGAAAGTTCTGATATTTGGGTAACTCAGTTTATAAGTAGCAGTGACGTGGTGCTTGCAACAGTTCGATTGAATCCCGACCAAGGCCTGCCAGGCGAAGACAAAGTGTCCTACCGTGTTCGAGCCCCTTTTCTTTTTCGGTTCTGGCATTGAATATGCTATGGGGAAGGACCAACACGTGGTCATGCGACTTCAATCAAGTCACATCCCAGCGCTCCCCTTCCTTTCCACGGCCTCGGAGCCAGAGGGCTGGTGGACACCGATTGTGATGCATCCGCACCATCCAGCCATCACCAAGCTGGGGTTTTCGCAAGGCACGGATGCGGTGCTACTTTTCAGGTCCGGCACGAGGGAAGCCTGGTGGGGACAAAACATCCGGGAAGCCTGGCAAGCTTATCATGTCTCCGAAGCTTTATTCGACCGCCATGTCCACGGTGTGCGCCGAAGCTGCATATAAAGTATAATTTAGTCAGACATCGATGATCTCAGATGGTTCTCGGGTACAGAACGCGCTGAAAGGTGCGACCATGCGGAGAAGCCTTCCGTGAAGCGATGGAGAAGGCATGGATCTGAAAGCAAACACTGTGTTGGCGATGTAGTCTTTCATTAGAGCTCCGGGACTGAGGTATCGCTCCAACACAGACCGTGCTGTGGATGGTACTCCTGCAAGACGCTGGGCGAGGCTTTGCTTAGCATGTGCGATGCTGTGTTATAAACATGCCTGCTTACCAAACATTGTCGACTCTTCACTTTTATGATTTTTCATCAGGCGCTTCGGTGAGACAACGCGGCACCTTGCATGCAATTGTCCATAGAGTGTTGCTTTGTAGTCTAGTATCATGTGCTCGGGTTTGGTTAAGACACACTTGACTGTACCGTGTGTGTGTGTGTGCCACTGTAACTATTGCGTGTTTGCGGTGCTGATCAGGCCGGCAAGCGATGCCGTTGGCGGCTCTCTGCCGCCTGAAATCATGACCATGCTGCCAGGGTACTTCTTCTCCAACACGTACCTGCAGACCCTGGCCTGTGTTTCCAAAACTATGCTGCTTGCATCCCGCGACCCTCAGCACTGGCGCGGAAGATGTCTTTCGTTGGCGGAAACTGAGTTTGCTGATCCTAGAGTTCTTCGCAACTTTGCACACGCCTATGATGTTGCAAGCGTAGTCCGGGTCGATGAATCTAGGTCTTTTTCCAGCAAGCTTTTCGTTTCATTTGCTGATATCCGCGTTGCGCGTCCGTGTCTTAGTAACGGACATCGTGCGGGTGTCAAGTGTCAATTAATGCATATTTCTTGTGGGCATATACATATAATGTTTTTTTGCCTTCGCTTAGCCAAGGTCAGACAGCTAGCAATGTTCCTGATGTTTCCACCACGCTTGGCCTTGGACTGGGTTGCGCAGTCCTTGCACGACCCTGGGTATCCAAGGTGGTATGGCTTCCACTCAGAGACACCGCTGATGGGCGACGCCGTTTTCGAGCTGTGGTTACCGTGTCGAGCATCAGGCCTGTATGTAGGCGTTCGAGACTGGCACAATGGACATCGCACATGGCTCCGAGTTGACAACTTGTACCGTGAGGAGTCTACGATTTCTGTGGGAATGAATAACCAAACTTCGCAGCCTCGCCACAGCCACAACAACATGCTTCTCCTACAGCCGCAGCGCACCCATCGCTTCTGTGTCCGCTGGAACCAAAGGGCCTTTGAGGTGGGCGTGGATGGCAAGTTGATCATTGCTGCCAACTTGCGAAATGGTGCCCAAGATATAGCGTCGCCTCTTGCGCAAGTTTTTGTTTGGGTTCATGTGCGGCCCGGTGGCTCTGAGGAAAGGACACGCGTCCGGCCTCTTCCATCGCCTATTCAAAGGAATGCACGTGTGACTTGTGCGCTTTGCCAACGCGAAGAGAGTGTTCTGCTGCCTTGCTGGGCAGCTTGTCCACTTTGTTCGACGTGGATCTGCAAGGAGCACACTGGGCATGAACCGCAGCGTCGCTGCCGCAAATGCATGATGCAGCTGCAGGATTACGTTGGTGGCGGTCCTGGCAGTGACAGCGCTTGTCTGGCCTCCACTATTTCTGAGTACGTAATATTTATGCGCATTCAGCACCTGCGAGATTTGATCTTAAGGAACATCCAGGAGATGGTCACAGATCGGGCGCTGTGGTTCTCTGTGCCCGATCCTTTTGATTTAAGCATTGACGCTCGCACATGGATGCACTATGTGGATGCCGTCGAGTTTCAGGCTAGACAAGTGACGTCGCAAGTCGATATCTCCATCATGCAGCCGAAGCCGCGACAACACGCACTGCACACCTTATCTGATGCCGACCGAGCAGTGAAACGGCTTGGTGCTTGGGCACGTTTGCTTATGTTGCTCATTCCGTATCGAGAAGTTGTATGTTTGCAGCAGATCTGGTCACCTACGGATTCGTTTATTTCAAAGAGAGCGTGGGAGTGGCATCTGTACGAAATCAGACAATCCGTTCTCCTGCTGGAGACGGAGACGCCGCAAACAGTTTCAGAGTTCTCCGGCACCTCACCAAGACGTTTTGATTTTCTGGCCGGGACATGCATGCCTACCCACGAGCAATGGCTGTTCCTTAGCGAACGCCGAGCTGCTGCCTTGCTGCGACGACAGTTACACATCGGCATGGAGTCCCCCCATGATTTTTTTTGCTTGTGGGATCGAAGCCTGAGCCCATACTGCTGCCCAAGCTATACGGCTGGGGCGACGTCCATGATCCGCTTGCCTCCTTTTGCGTGGGCAGACGTGAAGCCTCCTGTTCTTCCAAGTGCCGCAGACGAGGTCTTGAGTCGCCTCGAGTGCGTAGATGTGGAGTGTACTCTTCTTGCCCAACTGCATGGTCACCCGAGAGACAGACACGTGTCTTTCGTTCAGGAAACACACAGCTATTATGTGAGAGGAAACAAAATGCCTTTGTCCGTCACTGGCTTGGTACATTCCTTTGCTGACGAGTTTCGACCAGACGAAGCTATTCAGAAGATGGTTAATAGTGGTCGATGGCCTCGGCCTGAATACTCTCACCAGGTGGCCGACACCATTGTGCCGTTCTCCGCAGACGAGATCAAGGTGGCATGGTCGCGTAACGCGAAGGAGGCAGCGGCTAGGGGAACGTGGATGCATTTGCAGATTGAAGTTTTGCTCAATGCCGGATACGTTCAAGAAGAATGCTGCGTCGAGCTTCAGTTATTCAAGCAATTTCTTCGGGAATATCCGCTGCCGCTGCTCGCGTTTCGAACGGAATGGTGCATTTATGGTGAGAATGAGCGGCTGGCAGGCTGCATCGACTTCGTGGCCAGGTGCTCTAAAGACGAAGTCATTCTATTTGATTGGAAGAGAACCAAAGGCCTGTGCAACAAATACACCAATCGATGGGCAAACATGGCAGCGCCTGTAAGTCATCTGGAGGACTGTGCAGGCAATCACTACCGACTACAGCTGAATCTCTACAAGTACATCATCGAGAAGTACTACAACCTCAAAGTGCGTGCCATGCATGTTGTTTGCTGCCACCCAGATCAAGAAGCAGAAGGCCCCTTTGTGGATAACGTCCCGGTCATGGACAAAGAAATTCACGAAATCTTGAAGGTGCACGTATCTCGTGTTGATTTTGTAGGAGGCAAGCAAGCTTTGCGCAGTGCTGCGGATATCATTGATGCCTGGCATCGTCTGCAGCACGGCATCCAAGTGGAGGAGGCTGTTGAAGTTGCTTTGGTTGAACCAGTTCCTGTAAGAACTGCGGTCATGGTCAATGACACCTACGATTCAGACGAAGAGTCGGGTTTTTGGGGGCCGGCATTCACAGCCGACGACGATGCACTTTCTATCAGCAGTGAGTCTGCAGGAGAATGGGTTTGCGATGCCACTGGGTGCTTCAGATGGGTCAGAGGTTCGCCGCAGCTGTTGGACCATGGCGAAGATCAAGAAAGCGTGTTTTTCGTGAGCTCGATCCCGGAAAATGCAGCCACGGTGAATTGCGCCTACGATTCAGACGATGAGGTGGGGTTTTTGGAGCCGGCATTCACAGCCGACAACGATGCACTTTTTGCCAGTAGTGAATCTGCAGGAGAATGGGTTTGTGACGCCAGTGGATGCTTTAGATGGGTCAGAAGTCCGCCTCAGCTGTCCTACCAGGATGTGGACGAGCTCGGAGGGTCCTTGCCCTCTGAGGCCCTGGAGCTTCTTC